GTGAGATATGATCCGCAACGCAAAGTTCGCGAGAGAAGATTTGATAGAAATTTATGGTAAGTCAGTTTCTGGCCTTCTGTAATCAAATTATGGCTGGACTCTGCTTGACTAGTCGGATGCCTAAGTTTACCATAAGAAAGTCATTTCAGGTTAGCGGGGCGGAGAATTCTTACTTATTTCGGTGTGTGCGTCTGGACGACAGTTGATGAGACGACGGAACCATTCATTTGAAACTGTTATTTAGTGGTGGAGGACTAGTAGGATACATGATTTACCACAAGAAACTCATTTCAGGTTAGCTGGGCAGAGAATTCTTATTTATTGCAGTGTCTGCGTCTGGGCGACAGTTGATGAGACGACGGAAACATTTATTTAAACTTGTTATTCAGTGGCAGAGGACTAGTAGGATACATAATTTTATCAAAAGAAACGCATTTGAGGTTAGCTGGACGGAAAATTCTTATTCATGTCGATGTCTGCATCTGGGCGAGAGTTGATGAGATGATGGAACCATTTAAGCAACCTTGTTATTTGGTGTTTTTAAGATTAGATTTCCTAAATGCGCATTAATTCCTGAGCCGTAGGACCCGCAACAGTGAACGTACGCGTTAATTCTGACACGTGAAATCCACCGGCGGTCCAAGATTTGCTTCTTTGTATTGCACAATAAACGTGAAACAAAATAAAAACAGCTCTGCGTTTGTTACCAAGAAACGCTCACAGGAACCGGAAACACCAGAACTGTTGTATGAGTTACCATACTGAAAAGTTTTTTTTTAGTCTTCATTCATTCAGCTGAGACTTTCTTGGGTTCCCCTATCGAGGTAAATTACCTACGCGTAATTAACTGAGTTTTAACTTATTTTGTAAGTTCGTTCTCTGTCACTAGTATGTTAGATAACTGACATGACATACAATTGGCAATGGTATCTCTAATTACTTAATTAGTGGCTTTGTACTTTTAATGCATCAAAAACGATACAGATTCTGCTGCCCGTGCAAAGTAATATGGTACCTTGTAGAAAAACAGCATCTTATATGGGATTACATGGTACACTATACTGGCAGCATTATACGCTTTATTATTTCATTATTAGCTTTGTTTAACCTTGAAGTTGATATGAATAGCCGGTCCGAAGTCCATCAGCCACAGTGGATTAACTGCGAAGTATTCATTTAACTATCAACCGATGGTATTACACGATATGCCATACTGGTAGCACATTTACG